AGAGTTCCAGTTATAGCAACCCCCAACGCTCTTTCCTGGATGTGTTTTGACTTAGGACCATCCACACTGTTCCAATTTGTTGGCATGTAATGCATGTCGCACATAATTCTAGGTTATTAAATTCCTGAAGCATGCAATACACAAACTTAATAGATTTTATGCAAATTGTTATATAACAAAATAACAGCAGATGGTACTCATCACATCAGAATCTTTCCATAACAATTTCATATTTTGTTTAAATTAAACAAAACATAACGGTGCCTCAGTGGCCTCTAACTTATTTTAATTTATTCTACCCTACTGTTTTCCTTGCTATTTCCACGTCCCTTTGCACAACATTGCAATAAAATATTTGTTTTAATATTCCTTAGATATTTAGTAGTTTACTATTTTTGAATGGTACAAGGGACTAGTAAAGTTATTTGTTTGTTCATTCCCCCCCCCTCGATCAGAGGGAAATCTATTGCTAGAAATATGGTACATAACTCACAACACAATACAGCCTAGAGGAGAGAATTAAAGCTTTACTCCAGAAATCTTCAACTAGTATCTTTTTAAGCTCGATTTTTTATATATACATTTCCATAATGCTTCCCCCTCAAAACTCACTCCTTTTCCATCTTTTCTGCCTCTGGCATAGTCAGAAGATAAATGATAGAACAAATCAACCTGAAAGGAGTTATGAAAACAAAACAAAAACATCAGAAATAGGGAGCTAGGGAAAATAAAAACAATATAACTCCATTCTAGCTGCAGAGATGTTTAGAGTGCATGAGAATAGAGCTGTATACATATTGTTGCATCTCTGAGCAGTATCAAATTCCATACTGTCTTGGAATGAGGGACAGCAGAGACTATAGTGTCTTCAGGATATAGGGTTTATTTACACACACACACACACACACACACACACACACACACACACACACACACAGTGGTACCTCGGATTACATACGCTTCAGGTTACAGACTCCACTAACCCAGAAATAGTGCTTCAGGTTAAGAACTTTGCTTCAGGATGAGAACAGAAATTGTGCTCCTGCGGCACGGAGGCAGCAGCAGGCCCTATTAGCTAAAGTGGTGCTTCAGGTTAAGAACAGTTTCAGGTTAAGTATGGACCTCCAGAACGAATTAAGTACTTAACCTGAGGTACCACTGTGTATACACACACACACACACACACACACACACAAACAACCTGAGCCTACAATGGAGGCGCTCACAGCATTAACACCTGAAGAGGGTCTTGTTTCTCCCATAGCCACAGCCTCAGATTCAAAACAGAAATCAGTCATGGCTCTGTCTCCCAGCTGCCCAGGCTATAGCCTCCAGCTTCTAGTTTCTAGTTTCTAGCCCACCAAACTCTGGCCTTTTGTCTTTCTAACTACCAGATAGTTCAGGGAGATTGGGGTCCCATCCATCTGTTCTGTGGCACAGAGCTACTTCCTTTGTTACATTTGTGGCCCATACTTTGGGAGCCATTCCAAAGAAACTTGTCTGGCTATTCCTGCAGTCAGAGCCTTGTTAGATCCAGGAATCAGACAAGACTCAGGCCTACAGCCTCCCCCAACCAGCAACCCACAATGATATATTTTGTTACGGAGCAAAATTCATGTGCACAAGAAGAAATGAGAGGCAGGAAGTATGTTATTGGATGCTATTTTTTCACTTAGAATCACAGAATTGTAGAGTTGGAAAAGACTCTGAGGACCACCTGGTCCAATCCTCAGCCATGCAAGAATATGCAGCCCTCTCTTGCAAGATGTTTACATAAAAAAAAAAAAAAGCTCTCTGCATTTTGTCCCGCTAGCATGTGACCAAGAAAGAAAACACAGAATCCATGGGACAAGAGCGTCTTTCAGCAGCTGCTCTGAACCTCTGGCCTACCTGGCAACAGGTCAGAATATCAAGTCTCCATTCCACTCTCAATCCAGGTGTCCAAAGCAAAGCTCAGTCCCACAGAGATAACGGAGTATCAGAGCTGAGATTCTTCAACTTGGGCACTTAAGCAGACCTCAGCTGTGCTGCCCTTTTATACTTTGCCTACTGATTGCAGCAGCTGGGCTTGATAAGGCAGGTGACCCTCACCTGTTCCAAGCCTACCCCTGCTGTTCCTCCCAGAGCTAGCAAGCCCCACCTGGCCAACTAGGGAGCTGGGCTGTGGGCTCTTGCCTACCCCAGCCTCCTGGAGCTCTCTGTCCACTGCTCCCTATGCCTCAGAGCTCACCATGTTCATGAAGACAGGGTCCCCTCTGGCTATGCTGATGGCTCCTGCTGCTCTGGTTCCTGTGCACTGATCCCCATCCTCTATGGTTAATGGTTGCTAGGAATTGTAACACTGTGAGGGATAAACTACTATACCCAGAATTCTCAAGGGTGGAAATGTGCTCTAAAAGTATAGTGTGGGCCTATGGAGCCTAGTCACATGCGTTTCCTGCAAACAAACAATATCCAATTTTTCTTTTTTCAAAATATGAAAAATCCTTCGTCTTTTTTCCGGGGAATTCCCACCATTTATATTCCAACTGTACAGCTGCAGAGACATTCTGAATCAATCTGTTGTTCCTATAATGGGGTGTCTTCCTTTTCTTCTGGCCCCGAGGGTGTAGGTATCGGTGCTATTCCAGGCAGTGGCGGTGGCCAGGAGGCTGCTGCTCCCTTCTGAAGGTCTTCTCCGTGATCTTGCAGGAACTTCTGGTTATCTTCTGATGTTTTAATCTTAATTTTCTTTCCTTTAAAATTAAAAGATAAACCTTGGGGAAACTCCCACCTATATGGAATCGCGTTTCCTCTCAGTAGTCTTGCTAAGTCTGTATATGTAGCTCTGAGATCCAAAAGTTGTTTAGGAATATCTCTATAAAGTTCTGCTCTTTTGCCTTGGATATCAAGTGATTTCTTAAAGTGGAGGCCTAGTATTTTATCTCTCTCCTGCTTGGATCTCAAAATAATCAAACAGTCTCTGGGCTTGTCCCTCCTCACGACTCTTCCTAATCTGAACGCAGTTGTAATCTTAAAATCTTTGTCCTCTTCTATACCCCAGAACTTAGAAAATTCTGCTGTCAGATAACCAATTAAATCTTCCTGTTCAAGCTCTGGGATAGCTCTTAATCTCAGATTATTTTCCCGGTTTCTCAGTTCCACCATAGACAGGTAAGCCTGGTGGTCGCTAACGTGCTTGTGTAGTGGCCTTACCTCTTCTTTTATAGCCTCAGCTTTTTGATTTGCTTGTTCTGCTTTTTCATTGGCTGCTTCAGCCAGTCTCCGATTTTCCACAGTTGCTTCCTTGAGATTCCCAATAACTTGTGTATGTTGTGCAACTTGGTCAGATAATTTAGTAATAGAGGATGTGGCTTGGTCTATTTTTGCCGATTGGTCATCCACCTTCTTGTTCAATATTGCAAATTGTTCTAGCATTTGTTTTAAGAAGGTATCCGATCCTCCCTCCGCCATATCCTCTGATGCAGGCTGTGCAGTTTCCTTTTCTTGTACTCCCAAAACAGCTGGGACAGATGATCTACGTGACTGAGTAGTCAAAGTTGTTTGCACAAGTTGGGCTTGTCTTGCTTTCGTTTTAGCAGATCTTGTTTTCGGTTGGCCACTCATTCCACACCTGTCTATGAGTCAAGGTCAAATTATATATTGTCCCATGGGAAGGACAGTTCCAAAGTGTAAATAACAAAGCAGCAGATAGTCCAAATAAAATTTGTTCCCAGGCACTTGTAATTCCAGAACTCCACTAGGGGGAGTATTACTGTAGTTCATAGAAAGGAAAGAAATTTATCCGCCATTAAAGTCCCTGCAGCCCCAAAACAGTCTACTTTACCAAAAGTCCTTCATAAACTTTTTTGGCTTGCAGAGCACTTCCCAAGCTGCTACAAAGTCTCAAATAAAAGGTGCCAATAACAGTTTATTTAATTGTATCTTGCCAGTATCACTCAACTGTAACAGTCTCTATTTTGAATACAGTTTCCGCAATGACAGCTCTCTTTTTCTCCTGTCAGTCCGAGGTTTGGTTCTTAATTCTTTATAATCCATAAAGGGAGGAAAGTCCCATTTGAAATCCAAAACACTTTGAAATAAAAGTCCCTTCTCCTTCTTTTTAAAAGCCAATTCTGTCAACACGATAGTCCCAAATTCAAAATCTTTTAAAGCTGCTTCCCGCTTGTTAAAATCTTTGCCTTTGATCTTTAAAGCACTGCCGGAAGACGGACTTCCTGTTTATCGTCTCCCGCTTTCAGCCAAATTTAACCCTTTTGGTTCCAAAATGATTGATCCTTACTCACGAGTAGATAGTTTAGTGCCTGATGTTCCAAGAAGAAAGGTCGGCGCTCATCAGCAGCAGCTGCGCGGCTTCGCTCCCGCAGAAAGAGCGATGAACTCACAGCACCGCTCCCCCTTCCACGTTTACGGGCCCCTTACGGGGTTCCTTCTTCGTTTCTGGGGTCGCTCCTGGTGCCCGCCGAGTCCCACGGCCACGGACTCACTCTGCCCGTGGTTTTCTTAATGGGTCACCGCTGTGCCGCAGCGGACGACCCTTTCCTGCGGAGCCCCTCTTCAGAGACCGAAGAGGACCGCCATTGCCGTTTCGCGCCGCCTCCGGAAGTCTTAATCAATAAAAGACTAGGCCAAGAATTTATTTCATCAGACAAAGTCAAGAAAAGAGGCGTAGTGATTTATGCAAAGGAGAACCTGTCACCGAAACTTCTGTTTAAAGATGAGCAAGGAAGAATTTTGGCAATTGAGATACAAACACAAGGAGAAAAGTTTTTGATTTTAGGAATATATGCACCAAATGAGGGAAATCGGAATTTTACAAGAAGCTGCATGAGATAATGCTGGACTATCTGGACTATACTAACATCATAATGATGGGTGATATGAATGGGGTGGTTTCTACTCACATGGATAAGTCACAAAATCAAAATTTAACTAAAGACGGCAGACTACCTAAAACCTTCTTTGAACTAACTGACAACATGGACTTGATTGATATTTGGAGGACAAGGAACCCCTTAGGTAAAGAAGGAACATTCTTTTCTGAGGCCCACCTATCATGGACAAGAATCGACCAAATATGGACAACTAGAGGACTGGCACCTAAGATCAGAAAAGTGGAAATCTGTCCAAAGACTTGCTCCGACCATAATGCTTTGAAAGTGGAATTGAGACTTACTCCAACCGGTTCTTTCAGATGGAAAATGAATGACACCCTACTAAGAGATCAGGAGATTGTGAAGAAGGCCCAAAAAACTTTAAAGGACTATTTTGAAATCAATTTGAACACTTCGGTGGAAAAGAGAACAATTTGGGATGCAAGTAAAGCTGTAATGAGGGGGTTTCTGATACAACAGAACACAATCAAGAAAAAACTTCGGAATGGAAAAAAGACAGGATATTAGAGAAGATAAGAGAAGGAGAGAAAAATTGAGACTAAAACCAAAATCAAAAGAGGTTTTAAGAGAAATCAAATTCCACCAAGCTCAATATGCGAAATTGATAAATCAAGAAGTGGAATGGAAAATTAAACAAATGAAACAAAGATCATTTGAATCGGCAAATAAATGTGGAAAACTGCTAGCATGGCAGTTGAAAAAGAGACAAAAATTGAACTTTGTCACCAATCTAGAGGTGGAAGGGAGAAACATTCAGAAACCAGAAGAAATTAGAAAGTGTTTTCAGAAATATTTCAAAAAACTTTATACACAAGGGCCTCAGGAAATGTCTGAGATAGATCAATTTTTAAAAGTTAACGGTTTATCAAAACTATCTCAGGAGAAGAGGACAATCTTAAATAATAGAATAACACAACAGGAAATAGAGGGTGCCATTCAGAATATGCAACTAGGCAAATCTCCAGGCCCAGATGGACTTACCTCCAAGTATTATAAGACACTAAAAGACTATTTGATACAACCACTAATGGAGGTCTGTAACCAGATTATGGAGGGGAGGAGGGCACCGGAAACGTGGAAAGAAGCTTTCATCACATTGATTCCTAAATTGGAATCTGAAAAGACTCAGCTTAAGAACTACCGTCCCATCTCACTCCTAAATGTGGATTACAAAATTTTTGCTGATATTTTGGCGAGCAGACTTAAAAAATACTTAAAGAAGTAATTCATAAGGACCAGGCAGGCTTTCTCCCAGGGAGACATCTCTTTGATAATACTAGGAACATTATTGATATTTTGGAACTTTTACAAACTAATATCAATACGAAAGCTGTTTTAATTTTCATCGATGCGGAGAAGGCCTTTGATAATATTTCTTGGATGTTTATGAAGAGAAATTTGGAAGGGATGGGAGTGGGACGGTGGTTTGAAAATGGAATAGAAGCAATTTATTCTGAGCAAAAAGCTAAACTGATAGTGAACAATGTGGTGACAGATGAGTTCAAAATTGAAAAAGGGACACGACAAGGGTGCCCCCTATCCCCTCTTTTATTTATTTCAGTCCTGGAGGTGTTATTGAACATGATTAGGAAGGACCGGTTGATACAAGGAGTACAGGTCGGAGCGAAACAATATAAATTGAAAGCTTTTGCAGATGATTTGGTTTTAACATTACAGGAGCCAGAATTTAGTACAAAAGAGTATTAGAACTGATTCATGAGTTTGGTCGGGTGGCGGGATTTAAGTTGAATAAGCAAAAAACCAAGGTTTTGGGGAAAAACTTGACACCTTCAGAAATAGATGGGTTTCAGAAGGAAACAGAACTAAGTGTGGTAAAAAAGTGAAATACCTAGGGGTTCACCTGTCAGCGAAAAATTTGAATTTATTTAAAGACAACTATGAAAAATGTTGGCTGGAAATCAAAAAGATTTGGAAATCTGGTCAAGATTGAAACTTTCCTTGTTGGGTCGAATTGCAGCTATAAAGATGAATGTATTGCCGAAAATGTTATTTTTGTTCCAAACCCTACAGATTGTGGACAGAGTGGAATGTTTTGGAAAGTGGCAGAAGGATATATCCAAGTTTGTTTGGCAGGGCAAAAAGCCCCGGATAAAGTTTAAAATACTAACTGATTCGAAAGAAAGAGGGGGGTTTGCCCTGCCGGACCTGAGATTATATTATGAAGCTGCGGCCTTCTGCTGGATGAAAGATTGGTTACTTCTTGAGAACACTGATGTCCTAGATCTGGAAGGGTTCGATAACGCTTTTGGTTGGCATGCATATTTGTGGTACGACAAGGTAAAGGTTCATAAAATGTTCAAAAATCATATTGTTAGAAAATCAATATTTATGGTCTGGACAAAATACAAGGACTTATTAGAAGGTAAGACTCCGAGGTGGCTTTCACCAGCAGAGGCCAAGGCCCGGAAAAACCTAATATGGAGGTTGGTTGGCCGAAATATGGGGAAATTATAGAAAAGTAGGAGAAACTTGGAGGCTGCAGAGTTATGAAAAATTAAAGAATAAGGTGCAAAATTGGCTTCACTATGCTCAAATTCAAGAGGTTTTTAAGTTGGACAAAAGAACAGGCTTCCAGGTGGAAAAATCGAAACTAGAGACAGAATTGTTGGAACCAAAAACCAAGATATTTTCGAGAATGTATACCTTGCTGCTTAAATGGAACACTCAGGATGAGACAGTCAAATCAGCCATGATAAAATGGGCTCAGGACATTGGGTACAACATTATGTTTGAAGACTGGGAAAGGTTATGGACCACTGGTATGAAATTCACGGCATGTAATGCCTTGAAAGAGAATATTATGAAAATGATATACAGGTGGTACATGACCCCAGTCAAGCTTGCTAAGATATATCATTTGTCTGATAATAAATGTTGGAAATGTAAGGAGGCTGAAGGGACATTCTTTCACCTCTGGTGGACTTGCCCAAAAGTGAAGGCCTTCTGGGAAAGGATCTATAATGAGTTACACCAGGTGTTTAAGTACACCTTTCCCAAGAAACCAGAGGCCTTCCTACTGGGCATTGTCGGCCAGAAGGTGTTAAAGAAGGATAGAACCTTTTTTTGGTATGCAACTACAGCAGCAAGAATTCTTATCGCAAAATACTGGAAGACTCAAGATTTACCCACACTGGAAGAGTGGCAGACGCAATTGATGGGCTACATGGAATTGGCCGAGATGACTGCCAGGATCCGAGATTTGGGAGAAGAAGCAATGGAGGAGGATTGGAAAAAATTTAAAGATTATTTACAAAGATTTTATAAGTTATATGAATGTTAAGAATTCGCATGATTAGGGAAATTCAGCTCCAGCAATAAGATTAAGGTATGGGAAACTAAGCTATATTAATGAAAGGACTAATGTTTAAAAGAACATTATATAAGTTATTAGTGTAAATTGACAATAAGCATTTTAAACGTAAACCATAAGTATTTGAAAGAACAAAAGAATGCACAAAATAAGGTTATAATTTGCTGAAAAATTTTATTGTAAAGAACGCAAGGTGAGGGAGACGTGGGGAAGTCCGGTTGGTTATGGAAAAATGCTTTGGAAAGATGATTTTTTTCTTTTTCTTTTTCTTTTCTGTTATTTCTTTGTATATCCGACTTTGTATTTCTATGTGGAAAAAATGCAATAAAAATATTTAAAAAAAAAAAATAAAAAAATAAAAGTATAGTGTGGGCATTGTAGTTTGACTATATTCCAATTAGACATTAGATAGCCCTGGGTTGTCATGTGACTAACTGCAGGCTTCACTCCTTGCTGCATGACTGCTGGCTGATTTGGTTCGGAGGACCAAAATAAGCAAAGACAGTGATGCCATTATGCCCCCCTTTCATTAGGAGGGTTCCCTTCTTCAGTTCACAAGGGCAGAGCCATTCCTGTCAGGACTGAAAACAGACCCTACAAGTCTCCCTATTTTCCAGGGATGTCCCTGATTTATAGAAGCAGTCCTGGTTTCTGATTTAATCCTGGAATGTCTCACTTTTCCTTAGAATGCCCCTGTTTTCATTGGAGAAATGTTGGAGGGTATAGAGTTATCTGACACCCCCCCCCCGAGCAATCTGAAGGTAATCCTGTATAGGGAAGGGGTTGTTTTTTAAAAAAATCATTATGGAATGGGACGTACATATTTTTATCAGAAAAATGTTGGAGGGTATGTGGGGGGGAAAGCAGGGATGCTGTTAGGCACCTGTGCCCTCCCCACACAACATATGGCTGTTGATTCATCTAGGATGACTGTTGTGGAGGGTGGGGGTGATTTATTTTTAAAAAACAGTCCTCCTGTCAGACTGGGAATGTCCCCTCACGCACCCAGTTTAGGATATTCCACCATTCTTCTGCAGCATTTCTTTCCTTTCTGCGAAGCAAGTGGCTAATGTCTATGTCAGTCAAAGCTTGAATAATAAAGAAAATGGTAACGCCATAACATACTGTCTGAGAGAAACTGAAACAACATCATGAGGCAAGAATGACAGTTGGTCTACCTTCTCTGTATGATGGCCTCATGGGGGAAAAAACTGTCCCATGAGCCCTTGCTGAAGAGGGGAGGGGAAAGGCTATAAAAAGCTGCTTCCCTTGGAACTCACAACCATTTTGCTTTGAGAGCTTCCTGCCCACCCAACCTCAAGTTAGAGCCTTCACTGAGCAATTTTGGGTCACTGGTTGACAGGGCTGGAAAGGAACCCCCCCACACACACCTGATTGGCACTTGGTTGTCCATTCCCCACCCCCTTCCCTTAATGAAATTATGGCTTTCCTCTGTTAGGCAGAAGAACATTGTTTGTATGAGGGCAGAACTGGCATTGGTCAGGATCAACATATTACAGTGGTACCGCAGGTTACAGAAGCTTCAGCTTACAGATGCTTCAGAAATAGTACCTCAGGTTAAGAGCTTTGCTTCAGGATGAGAACAGAAATTGTGCAGCAGCAGTGCAGCGGCAGCGGAAGGCCCCATTAGCTAAAGTGGTCCCTCAGGTTAAGAACAGTTTCAGGTGAAGGACTGACCTCCAGAACGAATTAAGTTCTTAACCCGAGGTACCACTGTATAGGGGCCTGAAGAGAGGACTGGCCATGGCAAACCCAAGCGTGGGTTCGATATCTGCACGGTTGGAATCTGCACCCTGGTCCCCTGTGAGACCTTGCTTGCTTGGCTTGCAGCATGGCAAGGTTCAACACTGGCCAACTCCCATCATACATATTTGGAGCGGTCCAAACCCAGTGGATCCGTTTCATCAACATGGGGCTTGTTGAATGATGAACTGATCCTGGGACCCAATGCCATGCCAAGCCTTGCCCTGCCTGCTGCTGTTGATAAAGATTTGGCCTGATTTTATCCCACCACCGTTGTACAGTCTGGTTATTTTGCTGCTCTCATGGGTCCCATGAATCGCCTGTCTGGGCAAACACATATGCCTTATGTAATTTATTCTCTCTGAGTGTCAAACAAAAGTTGGGAGCTGAGGATCACGTTGTGTGGAAGCTT